CTTGTTAGAATTCAGCTGTGACGACATCTGGTCCTGGGCTTTGCTTTGTTGGAAGATTTTAAATTTCTACTTCAATTTCTGTATTATTATTAGCCTGTTCAGGCTTTTTATTTGTTCTTGACTTGATTTTTGTATGTTGTGTGTTTATAGGAATTAATTCATTCCCTCTAGGTTAGTTAATTTGTTGACATATAATTGTTCATGATAGTCCCTTATGATTCTTTTTATTTCTGAGTCATTCATTGTAATATCTTCTCTCTCCCTCTTTTTTTTAAACTTCTTTTTAAATGCAGGTATTTATTTCTATAAACTTCCCTCTTTGAACTGTTTTTGCTGCATCTCATTGGTTTTGGTATGTTGTGCTTTCATTTTCATTTCTCTCAAGATATCTTTTTAAAAAAAAATTTATTTTAAATATGTGAAGTACAATTCAGGGTTAGGTATACAAATGTTCATTATGCAGTTACCCTTGCTGATGAGGTATACTCCCCTTCTCCAGTGTCAGGCTGGACTCAGTGGCCCCCAGGCTGCTAACTGACCCATGTGGATCCAGATTGCCAGTCCTTCCAGATGCTCTAGACTAGTACCTATGGCCTCAAGCACCAGGCCTATCCCCATGTACATAGCAATAGACACTTCTCCATGGTGCCAAGCTCACCCTAGGACCATGTCAATCCCTGTGGACTTCGGCTTAAGAACTGCCCAGTGCCAGGTTACCGTCTGTGAATACAGGTTGTAGACCCATCTGCGTGAACACTGTCACCAGGTCCACTCTTGTAGACCACAGTGCCGTGTTGGCTTTTGTAAACATGGATGCAGCTTCAGACACAGCCCAGTGGACCCAGGGGAGTGTGCCTGGAGCCTGATTCTGTGAGAATTGGCCTTGCGCTGGGGTTCACTAGTTTGGTGCCAGGGTTCACAGCTTGGTTGAATATTCACTTTATTCCACTTCGCCCATGTGGAGGGTATCTCTCCCCACACTCTGCTACCCAGGCATGGGTGGCAGGTGATGCAGATATTGTGAAACCGTCCTTCCTACCCTCTTCAATGTGTCTTTTCTTATTTTGGCACCACACCCAGATGATGTAACTTGCACCTGAATTCTTTAGTTCTTGTAAAGGTATTTTCATGTGTGGATGGTTGTTAAAATTTGATATTACTACAAGGGAAATCACTGAAAACTCCTATTCCATTATCTAGCTGATATCCTCTGTCTCCTTATTAACAACACAAAACAGTGATTAAATTAATCTGTCAGGAGATTTTGGGCCCTCTGGTACCCTGGATTTGGAACAGACTTCATTTCTTTCTGCAGGAATGCTCAGAGTCATTCTTTCTTTGTTGTGAATATAATATTCTATGTTTATCTTTTCAGGAAAGTTTATGCCAAATACATTTTTCTTTGTCATTAGCACTGGTTGCAAAACATTCTCTATATTTGTTGTGTTATGGAAAACTAGCTTCAGGTTTTGAATTCACTTAAACCCGTAGGATTTTGGCATACGTCTTTCTTTTGACATGGTCAAGGGTAAGAGTGAAAGAAGGCAGTGAATTAGACACTGAGAAGTTTTTTAGTTTGAGATTAGATTAATCACCCTAAAAAGATCTTTTGTTTCCTCAAATGACATATTGTGTAACCAATGTTTTCCCATATCCAAACTCTCCTAGTGTCCCCCAAGTCTGATTTGCCTGGACTGACATTCAATTCAGTTAAATGCACTCACTAACTAGTCTAGTCATTCATTTTACACACACACATGCACACACATGCACATATGCTAGGTCCAATTGTAGGTGCTGGGGATTTAGCAGTGAACAAATTCAACAACTAGTTATTGAGAAGTCATAGGAAAGACTGCGTTAAGTGAAGCACTGTGCTAGCATCTGCTGATTTTCTAAGACGCGTGTGTCCATGTATGGAGAAAGATGACAGTGGAGAGGGGAGACATTAAGACAAATGCAGGCATCGCTGTTGTGCAGGGCAAAACATTAAGTGACCCCAGAAGGAATCTGAGTGGCCATAGTGACTCAAAGCAGAGAGAAAAGATATCCAAGTAGAGTAAATTAGGAAAGCCTTAAAGGGGGAGGTGGCATCTGAGATGGGTTTAAAGAATACTTCCTGATTCTTTTCTCTCAATTTCAAACTTGTTCTTTTATGCTCTGCTTTATGATGCTGAGGCTGGAACTCTGCAAACCTCATTCTGCTTTGCTAGTTTCTTTTTGTCTGGGGTGTTGCAAAGTCTAGAAAATAAGTAATTTCCTCCTTCCGGGTTGCTTTCTGTTCCTATTAGTATTGTAGAAAAATGTGTTCACCCCGGCAGCCATGCTGGTGCTGTAGCTAGTGCCAGTGTTCAGTTGTTCACAAACTCCTAGAACCAGTTTCTTCAGGCGACCTCAGAGAGACCAGCACCAGCCAGCTAGCATTCTCGTCTGAGATGAGATCCCCATTTGGCAAGTGCCTTCTACACCTCTAAGACGTCATAATCCCAAAGTATTTCTTATGTCCCTTCAGGCCTAGAAGCAATAGATCCTTCTGTAGTTACTACCTCTGTGATACTCTGTTTTCTTTTTCACTCCCAGGATTCTCAAAATACTTTTAAATATTATATCCTGTATGTTAAAATAACTTGTAAGGTTTCTCTTTTCTGAAAACACCCTGACTAATACAGTTGGTAGCAGGAATGGTCCAAGGAAATAGACAGTCAAAAACGAGACATTGGGATTGGTTTGGTCATGTTCTTGGACTTGAACACAGTGGTGATCTCCTTAAAAATTGTGAACTGAGATGCAGTAACCTGTGCATGTAATAGCATCACAGCTAGCCATACTGTCACCTACATTTGATCGAGAGGAAGTACCTGCTAAAGCAAGTCTCTTGAAGGAGCAAGTGGTTGCTGTGCTTCCTGTATGATGAAACTGATGACTACAAGGTCAGTGGGAGGGATGATTACTTGTGAGTGCACTGAAGCACTTGAAAAAGATGAAAACTCAGGTTTATAGGCTCTCAGCTCTGGTCATGCCAGAGAGCCAGAGGGCTCCTGATGTGGACATAAAATAATATTTTATTTCTAACAGCTTCAGAGCCAAACTTGTGAAAATAAGAACACATTTTAATTTTCAAAATTACAACATATGCTGAACAGCCACCCTCATCGTTTTTCAAAGAAGCTAAGAATCTTAAACTTTTGAATCACTTTGATCTTTTCTTGCTAGTGGAAGCAACACACTATTCCGTGTCTGAAGATGCTAAAAAATCTTGTAATAACATCACCTGTGGCCATTATTTTGCAAAACGATGGTTATTCTCAAGATCTACACCAAGCTACTCTTTGTTGCCGTTAGACTCATGACCAGAGTTAGATATCAGCATACCCCAGGAGAACAAGTAAAAATTCTGACCCAGGAGAAAATAATTTAGATTTATGATGAATTTGAAAATGCCTGGATACTAGACAGGGTGATGATCATAAATATATACATGAGGATGGGCTTATTCAGGGGGCAAACTATAAATTATATAGTTTGTCTAGAACAGAGTTACAGGTAAGTCTGAAAAGCTAGGTTAAGCCATATTGGGAGGCTCCTTGCATGTGGCTCACTCTTAGGGTTGCGGAGGTGTGAAGACCCATTAAAGAATTCTGAACAAGAGTAATGTGCTTAGAGACTCACTTCAGGAAGATAAAACTGACAATGTTACAGGATGGACTATGACAGGGAAACTTATGGCTAGTTGGCCAGTTAGAGGCCTATTTCAATAGTCTAGGAAATAATAATAGATAGGGGCATGGTGGCATGTTCTGGTAATCCCTGCTACTCTGGAGGCTAAGGTGGGAGGATCTCTTGAGCCCAGGAGTTTGAGGCTGTAGTGAAATATGATCGGGCCATTTCATTCCAGCCTGGGTGACCTGTTATAAAGAAACAAAACTGAAACAAAAATGAACAAACAAAAAACACAGTCAGAAATATCAAAATAGACAAGTGGGAATACATAAAAATTTAAAAAATAATGAGAGTCAAGGTCTCACCAAGTTGCCCAGGCCGGTCTCGAACCTGTGGACTCAGGTAATCCTCTCACCTCAGCCTCCCAAAGTGCTGGGATTATAGGTATGAGCCACCACGCCCGGCCTAAAATAGAAGTTTTTTTGAATTACTTTCCTGTTCAATCCCCAGGTGCTAGAATGGACCCTATTGCCTAATGGGCACTCAAAAACTGCTGGTAGCAACTTTTAAATTAGAAAACATGATAATTATTCTGGAGCTGAAAACACTGTACTCTGGTTTGTATATGATTTGTTTGGCCTCACCCAGTCTCATGTTGACATTTGGTCCCCAAGGTTGGCAGTAGAGCCTTGTGTGAGGTGTTTGGACTTTGGGAGTGGAACTTTCATGCAGGGCTTGGTGCTGTTCTCGAAGGAGTGAATGAGTTCTCACTCTTAGTTCCCGTGAGAACTGATTGTTAAAAACAGTCTGACACCTCCTTCTGTCTCTGTTGCCTCCTGTCTCCCGAAGTGATCGTTGTCCACATCAGCTCCTCTTCCACTTCCCTCATGAATGGAAGCAGTCTTCTCAGAAGGTGATGTTGGCGCCATGCTTCTTGTACAGCTTCATAACCGTGAGCCAAATAAACCTCTTTTCTTTACAAGTTACCTAGTCTTAGGCATTCCTTCACAGCAAGACAAATGGACCGTGACACATTTGTCTTTTGCTGCAGAGCAGTAGTCTGAAAAATAAACAGACCATGTCACTAACTCTATTATCTATTTAGTTAATGTTTCACAGGAAGAAGACTGATTGAAAGGAGGCTGGGAACAAACAACATGGAACACTGACAGGAGTATTGTTATCTGACAGGATGCAAGGGACACAGTGAAATTTGGATAACAATTTGCCATTATTTTCTTGGAAATTTTCCAGGAAATTGTAGTTATCTTTAAAGGCTCTAGGCCTGAAATTCGTCATTCAGAGCCCTGTTTGATGTACATAAGCTTGAGAGAGGAAGGTTAATAATTGTCAGCTGTGCCTTCACAAAGATAAATTTCAATCTGCTGACTTGGTGCCCCTGATCCCTGAATAATCCACATCAAGGTAGAAGATGTACACCAGTCAGCTGTAGGGTCTGAAGGATGAACAGACCCTTCAGACCCTTCAGAAGTGAGTCTTTGTTTTGATAATATTTGCATCCGATATGAGCTCGGCACCTGTCTCCTCACCAAGCCTTTGGTAAATCCCACTGGCCTGGTTCCTTCTGGTGGCTGTGGGAAGTTGCAGGTCTCCCATTACAGGGAGCACAGTTGACCAATGGACCCAAGCTGCTCATTGCTTGCTGCTTTTGTACTGAGGTTGTACTTGTTCAGGCTATTCTCAGCCAATGACTGAGTGCGGCAGGGATACTAAACAGGGCCTGTTCTTGTAGACATAGTACTCCTCTGCTGCCCAACTTCAGAGCGGGAGCTCCCCTACAACCTTGAATCCATTCTTAGATGGTTTGGTAGGCTAGAATACTTCCATTCAACTCTGTTCTCCTTTCTTTTTTGCTTGAGGGTCAGACTTGCACCTCTATCTGACAGCTCTCCCTGTCTTTTCCAGCTCCATCTCTATTGTCTTTCACAGGTATTCTCCTAATAAAATCCTTTCTTGTTTCATCCTATCTTGGCACATGCTCCTTGGAGAACTGTTCTTAGAGAACACATCCATTCTCTGTGACTTGACTTACCGACTTATCAGACTATGCTGATCTCCTGGCCACTTGTCTAGGGCTCTGGTATCCTGTCTGGCTCTTGGGAGTATTCCCTCTTCTAAAGTTGTCAGTTAGATCTTGTCTTCATGCCATCTGCTTATGATTGGAGTTGTACTTCAATGTGTGGACTATGTAGAATCACAGTGCTCTTCTAGAACCATCTGCAAGACTTTTACTATTGCTGTGAGCTAGGAGCTCACCACCTTGTTTTCATTGTTGCTATGATCAAGAAACCAAGAAACACATCAACTTTTCTTCCTCTTAGATGTTAGCTATGAGTAGACTCAAGTTGGACACTAGAATTTTTACCACTGGTCACCTTTCTATAGTGGTCATAAGCCTGTGGACTGCATACTTTGGACTTTGTTTCCTCCCACACTGGCCTGCAGTGGAGATACTAGTTTGAGCAGGTTAAGTTGCATAAGCCAGTGGCCTGCATGATTTTGGGCTTCATTCCCTTCCACACTGGCCTGCAGTTGAGGTACCAGTTTCCCGTATACCAAAATTTAGAGTGCCAGTTACCTATGTGAGATGTTGAAGTGTACTCCCTTCAGGAAATGTGATATTTTTAGCTGTTTTCAGTCATTCATAACTGGAGTGAAATATAGATCCTTTTTTGAGATTAGTGTGAAGACAGAAGAAATGTGAAGGCAATAGATATTTGGAGGACATGAATATATTATGAAGAGCACAAAAGCATAAAGGGACAACTGGCAACTTCAAAGCAAACCTCATTGCAACCATAGTTTTTCCTACTGCCAAACAGTGCCTTGGACTTCCTGCATATCTGTATCATGGACTCAATAGAGACAGAATCAAAACCTCTATTTGTTAAATACTAATACAGCTACACAACAAACAATGGCTATACATTTTCATGTGAGGGGAACAGCATTACAACTTAATCCTTTTAGCAACTGGAGATGGGTGATTATCTTGACCAGCTTGTTTCCAACTTAGAAAGCTCTTTATCTTCAGGATTTCACTCACAGTTAAATCTGGTAACCACGTTTGTGAGAAAAGTTGTAAATACAGTAGGTATAAAAGTTTGTAGAAAAAGGTTTGAGTAGTGTAGATGCCATCACAGAATTAGAGGGGGTAGTCAGAAACTCTTTTGTTAAACAGTGTTATTTTAACCAAGAGAGCTGTCAATAGAGAGCGGAGTTTCTAGATTATAGGTGCTTCCCTACTATGTCTTGTCATGAGATTAGCCAGTGCTTTGCAAGGAACTGGAAGTTCCCTAGCTCTGCCACTGCGTCTTTGTGTATTTACTTCTTTATCTGTAATATGGGCATAGAGTATTTTCTGATAAGCTAACTGCCATTACTGAAAAGAGGATGATGAAATAAATGTGAGAGCACTTGTAGAAGAATGATGTGTTCTACAAGTACAAGGTTATGCTACCTGTATAGAGATGGTGAAAATAGTTAACCAGGGCAACCATGAACCTCTAGACTTTATGCAGCAAGTGAATTAGCCTCATGCCTCTGTAACATGGGTTTCTTTTTATTAGTTGACTGTTAACCCTATTATAACTTCAAAATAGGTAATATCCTCTTATCTCAGTTCATTTGGGCGGCTATTACAAAATACGACAACTAGAGTAACTTAACAACAATTTATTTCTCACAGTTCTTGAGACTGGAAGTCTGAGATCAGGCACCAGCAGAGGAAGGCTCTTGGTGAGGACCTTTTTCCTGGCTTATGGTCTCTTTGTGTCCTTACACGATGAAGGACAGCCAGGTAGCTCTCCGGCTTCTTTCTATCAGAGCACTGATCCTGTTCACGAGGTCCAACCCTCATGATCGAATTACCTCTCAAAGGCCCCACCTCCAAATACCATCATGCTGGGATTAGGTTTTCCACATACACATTTTGGAGGGGCAAAACACTGAGTTCGTTGCACACTGTTTGGGATAACTGTAGTAAAAATGATTGTTTTAGAGAATCTAACTTCCTTTGTCTTTAATGTCTTCCCAGTTTCTTCTATAAATGTAAATGTATGATATAGAGTACAAATTTGACTTAACCTGGCCTATCTCTGGCCTATTTTAAGCATCTTTTTCAAGAACAACAGGTTTGATGTTATAAGGCATTACTTAAGTAAACACATACTATTCGTTGATGTAATATGGATTCTTCTTAATTACTGATATAATTTATTATGTAGGTTGATTTTGATACGATCAATTGTAGTACTTAGCAGCTATAAAAGTAGATTTGCATTGTATTACCCAAATATCAGTAGACATATCATTTTGTATAATAATATAACACAATTTGAGATTAAGTAATAAACAATATTATTTTCTTTACTGAATAAAAATGACTTTAACAGGAACCTGTTAAAGAATTAATTAAATGAATATGTATTAAGAATGTATAAAGATTGTATATTAACATATATAAACACACATATGACATGTAGCCAATATTTATGCACATTTATTTAGTGATTTAATACATATTTATTGGATGTCCACCCCATGCAAGACACACTGAAGGTTCTTAGGATATAGTAAAACAGGCAGAATTTATATTTATACACTAGTTGGGGGGTGAAAAAGGAGGAAATAGACAGTAAACAAGTAAACAAAAGATTTCAGAAAAAAGTGCCAAGAAGGAAATAAAAAAGGACAGATTAAAAGAGGGCTGTGCTCAGCCTTTAAACTCTATTATAAAGCTACAATAATCAAAACAGCCTAGTATTGGTACAAGAACAGGGATATAGACCAATGAAACAGGATAAAGATTCCAGAAGCAAAACCTCAATTTCTCAACCAACTCATCTTCGACAAAGCCTCCCACCACCAATGACTGGGGAGAGGAGACTTATTCAGTAAATGGTGCTGGGAAAACTGACTGACCATATGCAGAAGATTAAAACAAGATCTCCACCTATCACCATACACAAAAATCAACTCTAAATGGATCAAAGATCTAAATGTATAAGAACCTTAGAAAATGAAGGAAATACCCTCACGGAAATCGGAACTGGCATCCAATTCCTGAACAAAACCCAAAACCCACAGGTCATAAGAGAGAAGATAGATAAGTGGGACCTCATTAAACTGACAAGCTTCTGCAAAGCCAAAGAAACCATCAAGAGAGCAGGGAGACAACCCACAGACTGGGAAAAAAATATTTGCCAACTGTATGTCTGACAACAGTCTAACATCTAGGATCTACAAGGAACACAAACATGCCAACAAGCAAAAAACAAACAGCCTCATTACAAAGTGAGCACAAAATATTAATAGACAGTTCTCAAAAGAAGACATACAAACAGCCAACAGATACATGAAAAAATACTCAACCTCACTAGTCACCAAAGAAATGCAAATTAAAACTACACCGAGATACCACCTCACTCCAGTCAGGATGGCTATCATCAATAACTCAAAAAAAAAAAACAAAACATGCTGGAGAGGATGCAGTGAAAAGGGAACACTTCTACACTGTTGGTGGAGTGTAAACTACAACAGCCTCTGTGGAAAACAGTGTGGCGATTCCTAAAAGATCTAAAAATCGACCTTCCATACGACCCCTCAATCCCCCTACTGGGACTATACTCGGGAGTACTCAAATCACCCTATAGAAAAGATACTTGCACACGTATGTTTATCACAGCACTGTTCAGCAAGAACATGGAACCAACCATGCTGCCCATCAAAAGGACTGGATTAAAGAAATGTGGTACATATACATGATGGAATATTACACAGCCATAAAGAAGAACAAAATCATGAACTTCACAGCAACCTGAATGGACTTAGAGTCTATAATACTGAGTGATTTTCACAGAACCAAAGAACTGAGTATTACATGTTCTCACTCATAAGCAGACCTTGAACAATTATAATACTATAAGAAAAGGATTGGCAGTAGCGGAAAACTGCTGGGAGGGGAGCGGGGAAGCAGGATTGGCAGTAGTGGGATTCTGCCTGGGGAAGGGGGGGCACACCTCATCAACAAGGGTACCTGCATAATAAACATTTGTATACCTAATCCTGAATTGTATCTCACACCCTTAAAATTAAAAAAAAATTAAAGAAAAAAAAAGAGGGCTGTGTTGATGTAAACTGAGTGACCAAGGAGGAAACCTCCTTGCTAAGATTGATGAAAACTGAGATCTGAATATAAGAAAATACGAACTTTCTTGATTTGGGGATAAAGTGTGTTAAGCAGAGAGAAAGCAAATGTCACAGTTCTCATTTGAGAATGAGTTTGGTGTGAAATAGTGTGAATTCTTGTGGGAATATGGAAAAGAAGAAAAAGGTATGAAATGAAGTTGAAAGGTGAGGAGGCATCCTGTAGATCATGACAGGACTGTGTATTTTTTTTCTCATGGCAGTTGTCAACCATTGTAAGGGTTTAAGCACAGGAGTGACAAGATCCTAATTGTGTTTGGGGAAGCTCACTCTTGCTGCTGCATAGAAAATGGGATGTTAGAATGCAAAAAAGGAAGCAAGGAAACAACTTGGAAGGCTCTTAGAATTATAGGTAAGAGTTAAC